TTGCTTGCGTTGGAGTGACGTTGGCGTGGCTTCATCTTCGCCCTCCCCGCATGGGGAGGAGCATGTTGTCGCATTCTCACTACTGCTTGACGATTGCATTGGGACACATCCCCTAAGGGCCCAACAGCAGGCGGCGATGGATGCGTAGGGATTCTCTTGGGTATGAGGACCCGCTGCTCTTGTAGCCGGGGAATTGGCCGCTCGCCAGGCGCAGTTGCTGCTGAGCCTCTCCTTTGCAATCATTGCGGTGCTCCCCCCTGCGCACCGGCCCTCCGGTTTTTGGGGCTTTCTTGCCCGGCCTGCCATCACCAATGGTTCATGCCCAGCCAAGACTGCAGAATAGAGGCCATGTGCAACGGTTCACACGGACCTTCATGGGAGAGGTTGCGGACAAGATAGATTACATTTGACGGGCACACAAACTGCGAACAAGAAAGTAGCATACTGGTGCAACTCTCTGAACGGCCGTTGGCAATCGAGGGCAAGCTCTTGCACAAGGCTTACGGCCGATTGCACAATTGAACTTTGTGGTACAATGAAGCAAAAGGGTCGGCGTTGCCAAGCATGGCGCAGCTGAGGGAAAAATAGAACATATGTGCTAGTAGCAGCCATCTTGCTGCCGATGGCGCGGTGGGCTGAAAGTTCTCAGGAGCCCAGTGGGTGTGGGCACGGAGGGCTTCTATTCAGGAGACACGGTTGGGAAAGAGGTTCTTATTCCTGTTTCTGCAACCCCTCAAACTGCTGAGTTGCAGGGGTGTGCATGAGTGAGGAGGGAAGATGCAGCTCATGCAACACTGTAAAGTTGTTCCTTGCTTCGGCAGAGTTAGGGTGAGCTGACCTTGCAAACGGCCCGGTGCTCCATTGCAGGCGACGTCCAGCCAGGCCCTTTGGCTGGAGCGCGGGAGCGAGGTAGGTCGCAATGCGCAACAATACATGGCCCAGGAATCAAGATTTGTAGAGCGTGCCCCGCACCCCGCTGTGGATGAGTTTTCACCTAGCCTTTGCCTGTTGTGTAGCCTTTTGGCTCAGGAGCTCGCATGCTCATGCTTTCCTTTCTACACATATGCTTAGCATACCTGTGCCCCACACACTCCGCAAATGTTGATCGGAGGCCAGCAGTGAAACCGGAAGTGGACCACGATATACACCTAGCCTTAACATTTGAACACGCCTCCCTCGCCATGTGCACTCCGGGCCAGATCGCATGGAAGGAGTGATTTTGGGCCTGAGGTGCTGCCATGCAAGCGTCGGGCAGATTTGAGTGGCCGGAAGCTTGGGAGCAATCTTGGCAAGCGGCGCACACCCCTACGCCTGTCCCACGCCATGCGCCAATGCACGGGGAGCCTTTGCAGGTCACACCTTTCCTTCGAAGCGAGGGCCTGGAGTTCGGCAACAGTTCTGGGCTTGAGAACGACTTCGATTGGAACAATCCCATGCGCGTCATGCCTTTGGGGAGCGACGCGAAGGCCAATCCTTTCCAAGAGCAGAAGAGACACTCTGCTCAAGATGTGCCCGTACATCGGGACAAGCACATGGGAGGAATGAAAAAGCTGGTCCCAGTTTTGCAGAGCCTGGCAAAGCAGTATGGGCTGAACGATGATTGGTGCCAGGAGACGCTCACAGAGATTGTGAAGCGCATGCCGGGCTTCGAAAGCCCCGCAACAGATCCTTCCACTGATCGTGCAATCATTTGGCGGTCAGCCAAGCCTGATCGCCCGGAACACGTGGAGCAGCTGAATCGCATCATCCGGTCGCAGAACGAGGACTTTCGTGAGGCGCAGGCGGAATGGAGCCGGCACATGGAAGAGCTTCGTGGCGCCTTGGCAGACAATGCAAATCGCTTGCTCCTGGCATCCTGGCAGCAGCCGGGTGCCAAGTAAATTACTTAGTTACTGTTGCTGTGCCTGTCGGCGAAAGACGGGGGCCTTGGCCCAGGAGACCATAATCGCGAGCTCGAGAAGCTTCGGCGGGAGAAGCGCCAGATCGAGAGCCAGGTGGGTGTGTGCAAGGTCACGTCAAGTCTTGGCTTTCGGTGCATAGTTGGTGTGGTCATGTGTGGTGAATTGACTGCATTCCTTGGATGGTTTCAATCTGGATTTGTTAGGTTGCCATGGAATCCAGCAGCCATAACTACATCATGAAACACTGCGCTGGCGCATCCCACGCAATCAATATTTTTCTGATGTGGATTGAGAAGGCAAGCTTGTCGGGGAGACATGTCGGGGCGTTTGTGGCCATCATTTTGTGTCAGGCGCGGCGGGAGTTGGCGCGGCTGAACTATTATCTTACTCTGTTCGGAGCGGAGGAGGCCTTGGGCATCAAGAGGGAGCCGGACATGTCAGCGTCGAGCAAGGACTCTCAGGAGATGATGGCTGACGAGTTTAGTGCATTTGATGAGTTGAATGAAGACTAAATTCTTTGGATTTATTGTTTGCAGGGGGAGGGGGGAAATCCTTGGCTACAGATAAGTCGCCCATCACTATGCGTGATAGTGACCACCCACACGCACCCCCATCCACTCGCGCAACCACCCACGCCCTCACCCGCGTCATCTTCACCTCCCGCTCTCGTGACAGGAGGTAAAAGCCCTGAAGCAGCGCTGCAGAAGCTCGGAAGAGCGCGTGCAAGAGTTGGAGCAGCTTGGCATCCTGCGAATTTCTTGGAAGAGGTGTGACATATTGGAGACGGTTGATGCCGCCCCTCTCTTTTCTGCGCCGCTTGGTGGGTCGAGTTTGAACTTGGGAGGCCGGGCATGCCTGCCGGACAAACCAAGCCCAGTGCTATTCAATGCCCGCAGGGTTTGATGAAGCAGTGTAAGTACCTGACACGTCCTGTTTGCGAGCACGCTGGTTTGCTTGCAGCTCCGGGTTGTGCTTTGCGTGTTCAGAATCGCCTTGTGGGCTCTTCTCTGCCTTGATGCATGTACCCGGCTCCTAGCAGCACATTTTCCCGACGTTTGATTGGCAAAGCTGAGGCAGTACATCAAGGAGAGGATGCACCCGACGGAGGTGCAGCCAGCCGATGCAAATGCTACTGGGCTTTGTTTGCACCTTTCTTGGCTTGCACTCAGTGCAAAGCCATCAAATCTTGAACTTTGCGGGCTACGAGTGAATTCGGTTTCAGATCTAACCAATGTTTGGCAGTGAGCGCTTGAAAGTTTAAGAACTGAAGGGACAGCGGATTTTTCCTCCATGGAATGGGCCTCTGGCGTTGCCCATGACCCCTTTGGCCCAGGCTGTCCAGGCGCTGCGGCAGACGGTGTGCGCGCTGCAGCAGGAGCTGAAGCAGGCGGCGGCTGAGCTGCAGGCCCTGCGGCATCACCACCAGCAGAAGGTCACGCCGCTGGGACTTGAATTTGTTGAATTGAAATGGGGGAGGTGCCGGCCACTTCGGACTTCACTAGCGGCTTCTTTCGCACGCGCAGGCTCGGCCACATGACTTGTGGCTTACAGCAAAGGCTCTTGAAAGAGACTTAAGCAGAGCTCCGAGTGGGTGCTGGGTTTACGGCTATTGCCGTCGCGGGATTCGTCGATGTTTTCCACTACCAGTCGACCAGCAAGCAAGCAAGTGCCCACCCCAAACTGGCCCCCAAGCCCACCTTAAGCCACTTGAACCCCATCCACAAACGGGAGAAAAAGCGAAAAGCAAAACAAAGGGAGGCACCCTTGCTCCATTCCTTAGTGCCCATGATTGTCAACGATTCGCCTTGATCACCACACGACCTTGTACAGTTCCTGGTGCAGAACCAGATCTCCGAATGTTTGCCCGAGGTTTTGGGAGCAGGGTGCTCAACGCCTCCTGGGCTATGCGGAGCAGTTCTTCAGTCTCAACGGCAGGGTTGGGGAGGGCAACTTCGAGGAGAAGGCGGGAAGCATCAGACATTCGGGGCTCGCTGTTGCTCAGCAATGGTTTCTATTGCTTTGGAAGTGCTGGTGAGCCAGCAAGCCTTAGCAAGTCTCAAAGAGTGCATTTGAGCAAGATTGTTGTTGGACGTCACAAGTGAGCTTAGCTGTTGCTGTAGCCCGCACCAAGAAGCGCTGGACACAACTGGCTGAGTGATCAAGTCTTGCTGAGCAGTTTGGATATTTTTTTGCACGCAACCCTGCTTAGTTGGTTTGGTGCCAGCTGAATTGTGGCTGATGACTGCTGGTGTTGGTGGATATGTGAGCATCCCCGCTGCGAAACACCGCCAAATCTTTTTATAAACACAACCTCAAACTCACATGGTTTTGGTCTTCTCTCCATTTTGTGCTTGGCAACCCTTTCCCGACTTGTTTTGTCATTCCTCCTTCGCGAGAGGCTACCCGCGTGGTGGTGAAGATGCCATCTTCCAATCAGGACGGCGAGGTGGAGTCGCTGCAGCGCATGCGCCCTTGTGGCAACATCTAAATCACTGGGATACAATCTGCACCCCCAACCTTGGGTATTTTGAAAGCTGCACATCGCTGATGGCATGGTCGCACTAGAAGTGATGCTGAGCACAAATTCAACTGGAACCCAAGTCGGGTGTACACGTTCGTGAGCAACCCGATGGCATATTGCAGCAATTCACAATTTCATCGCGTTTATTAAACTGCCTGAAAGGTTGACAACTAAAGCAGACAGGCAAAAACGATCTTGTCATCACGGAGTGTTGCACTACAGAGTCACTACAGGGAGTCATACTGCCCCTTACACTCGCTTTCCCGCTGTTTGCAGTCGGACCTGTATCATCTTGCTGAGGCTCAAGGAAGCGTTGAAGAATCCCAAGGTCAAGAACAGCCCGCGGGCACAGGCGCAGGATGGATGTCATGCGCGAATTTGGCTGCACCTTCCTATGCACACCGAGTTCTGATGGTTTTGGTTTGGAAGGTTGACCGATTTGGAACCACCGTAACCCCTTGCTGAATGGACATCTTGAAGTCACATGCAAGCGAAGCGTGGCCTCTACTCTGCCGTTGCCGTCTTTTTTGGCAGGGCAACGGCGAGCTCACAGATGGCAAGGAAGCCAACAAGGAACCGGAAAGCCAACCAGTCCTCGATGGAGCTGCTTGCCAAGTAATTCGCCCAACTGCCAAGGAGCCGTGAGGTTGAACTGCCAGTGAACTGCCAGCGCCAAGCGTGAATCTTGCTTCGCTGCTACCAGGCAGTGTGCAATGAGTCTGATTGGGGGTGCGCATTGTTTTGCCATCTTCTCACCTGCACACTTGCTATTTGTCACGTTGCAGGAGGAAGGCGAACCTGCAGATGGCAAGGGCGACGAGTTGCAACTGGCGGAGACAGCGCGTGTGGCCCACTTCGTGGCACAATTTGCTGTGGATCTTCGGAAATTACTGTCTGCCAGTGTGCAAGTGCCAGCCCCCCCGCCAGTCACGCTGCCGGTCGCCCAATCGCTGGCAAAGCAAGATGAAGGCGAGGTAGATGCTATAGTGGCAGCTGCTACCAGTGCCAGCGCCTTGGCAACGCGGTAGCGGTTGCAGAGTTTGCCAAACTTGTCTTTATAACCATTGCCAAGTTGGCTAAGCTCAGGAGAGAAAGCGGAGGTAAAGCGCATCAAGGAAGACTTCGTGCCAGCGCGCCGGGGAGCAGCCGAGAGCGTTGCTGGAGCGGAGCGAGCGCTCCGCATCTTGGACAGGGACCTCCGCAACTTGTGCCAGAGATTCTTCAAGGAATCTGAGAACTGCCCTGGGTCAGTGGCTGAGCTGGTACTTCAGTACATTTTGAGAAGCGCGTGTTTGGTGAGCATCATGGCAAAGACAAATCATTCCAGGTTACATATTCGGCTGCTTGTGCTTGAGGCTCTCGCCCGCTGGCACCGTTTGACCTTGCCAGGACCAAGAGATTCAAGAGGAGGTGCAGAAGAAGCTGCCTTTGGATGAGGAGCTTCAGCGGCAATGCCTTATGAGCCTCCGCCAGGCTCTTCAGGGAAGGGCATGAGATGGCATGAGGACCGCGTGGCTCCGCGGTGACGTGGACATTCTGGTTCCCTAGCATTTTTGTGCTCCTGAATTCCCCGAATACCCCAAGCTTGTAGTTAACTACCGTAGCACTTGACTGGAACACCACAACCTGGCCGAGGTTTGTGACATCTCCGAGTGGGCTCAAACATCAATGGTCATAGGCCATGCATGCACCTGTCGTTTGCTTGCTTTGTTTGTGGATCCCCATCCAGCCCTGGACATAGATTGATTCGGGGGCTTTCTAAAACAAATTCAGTTGCAGTGCCTCCCCCGAACAAGAAAGGTCCAGTTACAATTATGCAATATTAAGCGTGTTTCCCAACCCTAAACTTGCCCTCACCAACCTATACTATATGCTGCAGTGGTCTCGGCTACCAAGCCAATAGAAAGCCAATACGCTCCAAAACCGTTGTGCTAGATATTTTGCTGCTGAAACGCCTTGCTCAGAAATTGCCGTGTTGAACGGTTCTTGGGCCCGGAGAGAGAGGGTTGTGTGGCGGTGGCAGAAGGGTCGCATTTGACCCTACCTCAATCTCTGTCGGCTGTGACTTACCAACGCCGGGGCAGCCCTGGCCCCGTGCAGGGTCAGTGGTGTGGGGTCCAAAGTGAAAGCCCCTAAACCTAAACCCTACGGAACCCTAAACTCAGACAAGAAACCCTAAGGATCCTGAACCTATATAAGCCTGTATGTTTGCTTCCCGTAGATCTGCGAACCCTTGTCAACATTGTCGAAACCGTGCCGAATTGGAAAAGGGGTATGTGACGTGTTCCGCGGTCGAAGCGGGGTCAAATGCGACGGTCGGGTAGGGTCGCATGCGACTGTCGCACCTTTGCTGGTTGACCGTTTGAGCAGTCTTTTGCGGATCTCAGATTAAACTAAGGTGTTGGTGCCTGTTGTCTTATTTCAAGTGCCTCCAGCTAGCTAACTCTCCAGCCAACTAGATCGCCAGTAAGAGCAGCTGGCTAGGTAGTGTATCACAAATCTGGCTAGTCCAATTGAGCGAGCGACTGGCAGCCTCCGAAAGTTGGGAAGGAAGCAGGATTTGTTTCATTTACTCAGTCTGTCTCTGACATCCCCGCCTCAGGCGCACAGATGCTCTGGCCAAGCCTTGACAGAGTTCCTACAAGTGCCGACCAAACTGAAGCTGGTTTTTGACCTCACCAAGCGTTTGAGTGCAGAGGTTGAGAAGCGGTGCTTGTAAGAGAGCATTTTTGGTGCTGGTGTCCGACCAGTGGGCCGCACAGCCTTTGCACCTGGCACACAATGAGCTTCTGAACCGAGAGGTGGCTTGACAGGAGGTTTCACCGTTGAAATTTTCAATGACATAACGTGAGGTTGGCGTCCTCGCGAGTGTTGCAGGCTTTAATTTGCGAGAACCCGTTTTGTGCCACAATCTACATTTTGGGTGGAAAAGACCTTGCTTGGTTGCCATGCTCGTGTTTGCCCGCTCGAGATGGCCTGCCAAATCGGGCTGGTTGCAAGCATGGTGCTCCGACTTTGGGAGTCGTCCAACGGCACAGCTGACACAACCTCTCGAAGGGTCGGTCAGTCCGTCAGTCAATCAGTCAGTCAGTCAGTCAGTCAGGCAGCCAGTCAGGCAGGCAGTCAGTCAGTGCTCCCTTGGATGGCTCCCTTGTTTTGTTCCCAAGCGACCCTCATCGGCACGCCAGGCCGCCACAAGCAGGTAGCCCATGGAGTTCTCCTCGCAGCAGGCGAGTCGCTGCACAGGGCTGGTGGCAAACGCCCGGAAGAAGCTCGACACGGCTGTGGTTTGTTGTGGCCTCCTGGTAAAACTCCAGACCTGGTGGTATTTTAGTGCCTAAGCCACTTGCTATCGCGCAAAGTGTTGTAGCCATTTTTTTGTATGCACTTGGTCGGCGCAAATCCGCAGCAACCCCAGACAACGAACAAGTTTCAACCATTTCCATGCATCACGGTCTGTCACATGAGAGCCCCCTGCCAACTGAGCTGCAACTCTAGCCCTCCTGGCCACCACTTGAATTAGGATAGTCAGGCCAGATTGCGAGATGGAAAGCCAAACGCAGTTTCTGGGCATGCGGACATTTCCTAGCTTTGAACAGCCCACAGATGTGGCCTTTGTTAGAGTCGATGATCATGCTTTCTTTCAGACGTGGCCTTGGCAGATCCTGCGGCTTTGCACGCTCTTCCACAGAGCCTTGCTGGCGCAAGACAAGGCGCTGTTCAGCCCAGGCTGCCCCTGAACTAAGTAGGTACCAATCATTCTGGTTGTCCCGAACCTTTCCCAAGGCCATTTGCAATGACTGGCTCAATGTTTGTCCTGACTGCCCTGCATCATGCTCAAACGGACATGTTGCTCCATGCCGATTTGCCCAAAGAGGGTCAACAAAGTGGCACCGGTAATTCGACACAGATGGCGTGCCCCTAGCCAAAAATATGCAGGGCCTCAGCATATTATTTGCCTCACCGGAGCTCCTTTCTAGCAGGGAGAGATACAAATGATGAGGTTTTGCCGGATGATTCATGCAGGTGAAGGTGCATAGCTTGGGCTGGGAGCTGCTGAAGAAGAAGCACCTACTGCGGCCCGGCGAGGCGTGCGGCCAAACAAAACACGTGTGATGGTTTCGACGCCCTGTGAACAAGCCGACAACCTCGTCAGGCAAATTATTCTCATTGGAAATCGGCTGAGAGTGTGCTAGCTAAAGCTTGCAAGCAGGAACATGCCATTAGGACCAGAGGAGTTGCAAGCTGCTCTTGGAGTAATTAGCCGAAGCCGCGACGTGCCTCTAAGGACGGGTATGAATCAACATGTTAAGCGGGCAACGGTTTTGTTTTTGCAGGTGCCCCAATCATTCAATTTGATGCTCAAACGACCCTGGCTTCTCCAGAAATGCTTGTATGAGAGGATCAACGAATTTTGTTGTTTGGCAACCACTTCAAACATCCCTAATGCCTGGATTTGTTGCCCGATTTGTGTGGCCTTTTGTTTGCCGGGAGTGTTTGTTCCGGCAAAACAATTTTCTATTATAATAAAGCGAACCCCGAAGCAGTCACAGGATTCTGAATTGGAAAAACTGCTTACAATCACATCCCAACCGTAATCGCAGGTTTCACATTGAAGCTCAACCATGCAGGTCGTGAAACTTGATTTTTTTCCGCGAAGATAGCGTTTCCGGGAACAATGAATTGCGATAGCCGCCATATGCGTGTACGCATGTTGAATTATGCGCGAGGTTTTCAACAGGCAAGAGCAAACAGTCGCACAAAGTGGGTTGCCCACAAGAGGCCCTGATGCGCTTAATGTGCTTGTTTTGGGGGTCGCATTCATGTCTAACTGTTGTTTTTGTTGTTTTAGGGGGGGAACGGCATTGACATTTCCAAGTCAAAGCCTTGGCTTTTACTTCCAAAGGGTGGTTCATCCCAAGCTCTTCCCAGCACAAAAGGAAAAGGCCTTAGATCTAGAAACTAAAGTCGCCCCCAAGCCATCAAATTTAAGATAACTTGTTTTTTTATACGAAACTTTCACAGACCCTACGCCAAACATTGCCGAACATCTGGCTAAGAAGTTGCACCCAACTGGACACGAAGGCTTCAAAGCTCCAACAAGCTGCTGTCTGCTGGGAGTTGCCTTTGCAGCGTTTTTTGTTTTTGTTTTGCGGCCTTCCTCAGGCCGCGCTTTTCTCCAACCTGCTTTAGTGTGTGTGTGTGTGTGTGCGCATTCCGCGAAAACTGCCCGCAAATACACGTCGTTCATCATTCAATCTTCACTGTTGCAAACCACCCTTTCACCAAACTTTGCGCAGCTTGTGCGGATGGCAACACCAAAACTAAAAATGTCCTACCTGAATGCAAGGACCTTTCGGACGCCCTTTCTGTCCCGGTCGGTACGTGCGCACAATCTTCAATTTTGAACGGGCACACTCGTCGGTGCACTGTTCACGGAATTCATTGACAGATTGCAGAACCAAGGATGCTTCACTGCGCATGACGGCTTTTGGGAAGCAGTGGCATCTAGTTTAGTTCAGTCGGTCCATGCTGTTTTCCTTTTGGAGGCGTGCATGGCGCTTAACCACTTCGCGCAGCTCAAGGTGCTTGACCACGATCTTTGGCAAGGCTTCTCCGATGCACTGCCGGAGGCTAGGAAAGAAAAATGTGAAGGAAGAGACTGACATTTTGCACTTGGAATTGAGGGAAGGAAGAAGGGAGGGAGGGAAGGAAGGGAGGGGAAGGGAATGGAAAGACGTGGGATTCGTGCGCTCCTTTTTGGAGAGAGAAGGTGAGTGGCTGCCTGGTTGACTTGACGAGTATGCGAAGTTTGCTGGAAGAAAGCGTCCACTACACAAAAGCAAGCCATGGGGCTTCGTGTGAAAAGCTCTCAAGCAACCAAGGGCGATATACTGTGAACTCTGGAGGCATTCCTTGCCGACCATGGTCACCCTAGGGTCGCCTCTTATAGAGGCAACATGTAACGCGAGAACCTTAACATCACAACGCCCACCCAAAGGCTGATACATGTTGAGCTCCTGTTCACATCCTACGTCTGAGCTGCTGACGAGATCTATCACTGACCCGTCAGCTTTTATGAGAACCCCACTCGCCGCGCAAGTCGATTGGCGCGTGAGGCAGAGGAGTTGTCCTGCACAAAGTGTTTTGCCATGTCAGCAGGCTTTATAGACCAGGGTCTTTGGCCAGAGCTTGACAATGCTCGTGCATGTGTCCCTCTCATCAAAAGCCGGTGACGCACTGCAGGTCTTTGTTGAGATCGACTGCAAGACGCCTCTTGGCAGTTTCAGAGCTTCCGCGCGCGTTCATTGTTTGGGGGTTGAGGCCCTTGTGAAGGCTTGCGCTGCCTTGCTGTTAGCATGTGCTGTTAGCCAAATTTCTAAAGAGAGGGACATGAGACAAATATACGAACGCGCGAGCATGTGCACCTACATGCAGAACGGCAACAGCACCATAACGTTGGGCTACAGCGAGGGCTCCAACACACAGAACACGGGGAACATGTGTACTTGTGCATCACGCACTCGCAAACATGCTTGTCTTTCCAGACGTATGTTGCATTGTCGAGTCGCTTCCCGACGCTGGAAAATGCTGGGGCGACTGGGAGACATCCAGTAGTGTTTCAGCTGTCTCCGACGTAATACCCTTTGTACGGGGGAGGGGGGGTTGGGTTTGACCCCAATGCTTAATTTGGTAGTGTCAATGCACAATTCAATGCTGCCAAGGCTTGATCTCAGGAAGGTTTTGATGTGGGAATTCCCCCAAGCCCCTCAACAAAGCTTGAAATTACAGGAGACACGGAACAGTCATGTAGTAAACAGGAACAGGAGCTCCCATGGGCACCCCTTTTGTCACTGTTTGGGCTTGTGTTTTTTGACAAGAAATGAGCAGGCATAATTTGCCTTACACTGGCGGGGTTGCGCGACTGCTTGCACTCGGAACAACCTAGGCTTGGCCTGACGACCAATGCCTATGCCCGGGCTATGCTGAAGCATGACGTTGCCTTCCAGCTGCTGGCACGCCGTTGCTTGACCGCTATATAAGTTCAGGCTGTTCCGGGTAGAATTTCCGTAGCTACTTTGACAATTTAAGTGGTGGAACACCATGAGCCCTGATGGGCTGTAGGCAAAGAGACCTCCAAATAAGATTATGAGGTAGATCATGAGAGGTCCTGGTTGCATCTGCAATCATCCGACCGTTGTGACGCGTGATGTTCAGGCAATGCCGCCCCCATTGCCCGCGGTGCTGTCGAGGTGCTGAGACGCTGCTTAGGCAGGGGCGGATGCAGGGTCGGCACATGGCCGGGGTCCTAGCTGGGAACTGCGCTGGCAGCGAAAGGCCAGACAAGGTTGCAAGCTGTGTTGCTTTGGTTTTGCTCGGTTGGCTGGGTATTCGATTTGCAAGCTGAGCTTTTAGCTGAGTTTTTGGTCGTTTTGCCGTTTTTATGTTTGTGTATTACAGTAGGGACACATGTTGTGAGTAAGGCATGGTTGCAGCTTGCTAGCGAGACATGGGCATGTGGCATAGCTAGATGCATTTAGCTGCGTTGACGCAAACCGTTCTTTGCTCAGCAGCCCATCAGTTGGTGGCCAACAATCACTCAGCCGCCTATTGCTTGATTATAGCTCGGTGTGAACTTAGAACCTGGCGGCATTTTAGGGACGCTGGAAGTCCTTTGTCGCCAAAGCTGTGCATTGTAAGCCCAGAGGCCCCTCTCCGTCACAACGCTCAGGCCATGATTGTGAATGGTTTCTCCAAGCTGCGTGTGCGCGAGCCTTGTTGGAATTGCGCCGCCATGCGGTTGGGCGTGGGCACAGGGAGACGCTTCTCTTTTGGACTTGGCTTGGATGGAGGGGTTTGGTGTGAGCGGCATATTTTGCTCGGGGCTCTCTGCCGGGAGGAATGAAGGCAACATCCAGCGCTCAACATGATCACATGTTTTGGTGTGAAGCGGAGGGCGATTGCGTTTGCGGTATTGCTTGGCTTGTGGCACCCTGCATCCACCCGAAGCCTCCAAGCTTTGAAGCGCTCCTTAACCCACCCTAAAAATCCAACGTTAAACCAAAAGCAGAAGAGACAGCCCATGCCAAATCCAGCCTAGAGCCACCTTCAGCCAACCGCAAGCCGACCCCCGAATCCCCCGAATCCCACCTCAAGCCAACTTTTGATAAACCAAGCTCCGACCTGAAATGCAACCACACGGAACCCGCCTTAACTCAACCCTTAGACACGCGCACACTGGACATACGGGAAAACCCACCCCGAACTCACCCTAAACAAATAACGCCCACCCCAATCCAACTCCGCACCAGCCCTAAATCCTCGATCACACGTGTCCTTTCTATCAATAAGTTGTCTGATGCACCTGTACACGCGCACACACACACACACACGCAGACAATCAAGCACAGACACGGCAGAAAAAGGTGTGGCATAGTGCCCTGGACGATTTGCGTTTCATTTTGTCTTTGCTTCACAGCGCAGAAGTGCTCATAAGTAATGCGAGCTGTGGACCCCAGGCAGCCAGGCGCCGAATTGGGACCCTCCAGGGGCCCTGCACTTTGCTTCGCCAATCAGCGACTGACGTTCTCCTAGGATGAGGCGCTGATGGAAGCGGTGTCCACAGAGGTCACATCCTCCGCGGAAAAGCTGCACCTTGACGGAGGGTGGGCTTGTCCTCCTCATGTTCTTGAACGGCTGCTTCTGTTGCAATTGCAGCTCTCGATCCTTCGTGACCTCTTGATCGCAGCCCCAGAAACAAATGAGCTCACACTACATGAAAATGCATGGAGTTGTTCCTTTCAAGGTGGTATGCCAAGGAATGCCGTGGACTTGGCCTCCGTGGATGCCTCAGATCTCGGGCCATTTTGTGTTGCGAAAGGGCACAGTTGATTCACCGAATGCTGCCAGCAGCAAAGCTAGATGTCCCTGTACACTGCTACGGTGTTGGGATGGTCGCAAAGAACGACCAGGCGTGTATGGTAGAAGCACCAAACACTGCATTCCCAGGCGAGGTTACTTGAAGCTGTCAGTGCCATTTTTGTTAGAATGCCTGGTGTCGTGTGTTGGAGTTCTTTGGTTGTGGAGGTGGCGAATGGATACGCCCGGCTGTGGATGCACGACAAGGAGGTCTTGGATGCTTTGCGGGAGCGCGGTAGTTCGTTTTGCGATCGCTGCTTGCCACCGAGGCGAGCTGCTGTTGTTGAGCGGCCGCCACTTTACAACTGCCATGTTGGTGCCATGTTGGCATTCCTCTTTGTAGTGACACGTGAAACCACCCGACAGCTGCACTCCGAACTCACCAAGCTCTAGGCCTTCGGATTGGCTTTGAATGTAAGTGCATTTGCTTGCCTTGCGGCGGCCCGCCTGCAGGAGCCGACGATGTCAGCGCTGCCGCAGTTCAACATGCAGAACATTGCAATGATAATACATGCCGCGTGGCACATTGGGAGCTGGATTCCTTGCGGCGGCGTCCAAGTCAGAGGGGTGTAGCTGGTTGCCGTCAAAGTAAAGTGCGCACCTGAGGCTCTGACTTCCATTGCCTTCCCAGAACTGTTTGGTGCACCATATTTTAGCAAAATCACACGGTCTCTGGAAGACGTGAATCATGCGTGCACAGAATACAGCTCAGCGCTTGCAAGCAGTACATGGTTGCCTCACTGGAGACATCCCGCAGCATGTAGGCAAGAAAAGTGTGTTGTTTTTGGTAGAACCAGGGGTAGCCAATCTTAGAACAAACTGTGGCCTCTTTATTTGGCCATATGTTCTGACTGGACGTACAGGGGAATGCGCACGTAACAGGCTATGACAAGTCATGTAAATGGTTTCGTGTATGTGATTCTACTATGGCTTGTGACCCTCCCGACTTGAAACCTCAAAGTATTTCGCCAGGTCGCGTTGGGCGACAGCGTATCGTCTGAGGTCAGTCATGATTGGGTGTCATTTTGTCAAATGGCATGTCCCATATCACCCGTCCTTTTGCTGGCAGCGTAACAGGCTGTTAGGATTCGCGTATACATCACCATTTGCGCCCTTAACTTTCACCCAGCTGGTGTACACACATCCTTCCTTGTTTGCTTGCAGCCAAGCTTGCCAAACAATGCGTCCGCCCGGCACAGGCCCACATTAAAAGACATCCTGCTTCGCCTTCTTGTCGCCATTTTGTTTGTTTGCTCCAAGCATGCCTTAAATATGCGCCGCGTGTGCGTATGTTTGTGCTGGACCAGCGCAATGCATCCCGTTTTTGTTCATGGCCCAGTTTGCATTCGACCCAATCTGGCTTGGCGTAGTTCTGCGCATCAAATTTATGACTTGCTTTTAGCCAAGCCCACTCCCTCCCGTTGAATACCTTTCGCTTGGCCAGCACAGATGTCCGCCCTGTGCCCCTAGCAACCTGAACTTGCTGTCACATTTGTATTGCCTTTCAACCTGCATAACAATTCCCCCCCTTGAGATTCGACTTCAATCGAACATACTTTCGACCAAACTGTGGCCTCTTTTATGTGCTGACCTGCCCTGAGCCCAGAAAGCCAAGTAAAAACCAGCGTCAGAGCACGCGTCACTGGTGATGTTGCAAGCAGCTAGCCCTGCCGCTGCAGCAAACCCAAATACACGTCAAAAGTAGCACACAAACAAAAGGCCGCACAGTTTCGCAAAACAACGGCCAATTTACTGAGTAGCATGAAAACCGGCATTGCAGTGGCACGATATTGTGTTCGTGGCCTGCTGCTCTCGTCTTGCTAGTGGTCAACAGCGGCCTTTGCCGACGCACAAGCGGATCAATCCGGGCATCATCCCCGGGAGCAGTTCAAAACGGTTCCGTGGCACGGATGGGATCGGAATGGTTCAGAACCGTTGTGAACCAAGATAAGTTCATGCACGCTCACAACTTGAACGGTTCAGATCAGCTCAGGACTCAGCCTGCTACATTCAGGAACGGTTCAGAACGGTTTTGCTGACTAAGTGTTTGGTCACACTCCTGCCTGCATCCTGTTTGGCCCAAGCTGCACAAGGCACACGGCCGCTTCTTGCGCCACGACGCCGAGCTACTGGGCGCTTTACTGGCGGAGCTGCGGCGCCGATGCGAGGCAAGCCGGGAGGCGGGAAGCGCAAACAGAGGACAATGGGCTACTGGACGCTTGGTGCCGCATGTGCCGCGTGTGGAGCAGGTCTTATGACTACAGAGGATAGGTTTTGCAAGACTTGGGGCAATGAAGTTGGGTTGTGCCCAGCAGAATGAACCTACAGCTTCAAGCAGACAGGAGGATCCGTTTGTGCAATAATTGCTTTAGCCTGGGCAAAAGAAATAGGATTTGGGGGGGTGGGGGGGGGGGGGTTCAGGGAGGTTCGGGAGGTTGCTGGTTTAAACGAAAAGCAGATCGGTGACGAGGTTGCCTGGGTCGGGTTGTGGCGAGTGGCGTGCAGTTTGCGCTGCATAGTTATGGCGACGACGTGGTGCTGGCATGCGACGTTGCAAGCAGATCGAAGCGACCAGCCATCACAGGATTGGTGCAGGCGTGCCAGAAAACATCGTCCACACCTCCACTCGAGCCGCCTCAGCATCATTTTCAGGCATGGCATTGAAGCAGAGTTGGCGCAATCTTTCAAGCCAACAGCGAACAGTTATGAACAGTTGCTGCCATGCATGGCATGTTAGATGTTGTTAGCGCCCGCAGTTGCGGTGCTTATGATTTTATTGGGGGGGGCCTTTTATCCCCTTTAAAGGGTGCCACAAGGCGGCACCAGGGTCCAAAAATAGACAACTGAATAATACTATAGAACACTATAGTTGTATGCATATATTTATAGATTCCCTCACTCTTCTGTATATATATAGTTATATTCTATGGTTTTGGCGTGTGTGTGGGTGGGTGTGGGTGTGGGAGTGGGTGTGTGGTGTGGTGTACCGTGGCGTCGTGTGGTGTGGTGTGGCGTGATGTGGTTGCCCGCCATGCACGACGGCGGGCTTGCACTTGTTGGAGCCCATGCTGTGCTTGTGAAGGCTTACCGAGCAGGTGGGCAGTTGCGATGGCACGGGACCTTTGCACATATAAATTGGAAGCCGATTGGCAGTCACCAGGTACGGGTCACTGGCCATGTTCGCTGTTTGTTTTAGATGTTTTTAATTGTCCCAGCGCAGGTGGTGCCAGCCCACAACTTGGCGCCCATTATCCACGCCATGGCGAGAGGGCTCAGTGAGTTGGATGCCAGAAAAGAATCATTTTTGCTATGGATGCCGCTGCTAAATCTGGCTTATAGACATCAAAGGGGACGCTGAGGCTTTGGTCACTAGTGATGTTGACCCTCTTAGACCTGCACCCTAAGGCCACACGATTGTCCTGGTGCACGCCTGACTTCCTGAAAGATCGGAACTTAGAAGCTCAGACTTCAGAGGACGCTTAGCAAGTGGGCTGAGTGACTGAGGTTGTGGACATGTCACTTCCTACGGCCATCAAGGAGATGAAGTTGCTGAGCTCAGAGTTCTGGGAGTAATTGTGTGCTTGTTCTTTCTGCTTTGCACGGCGCCATCGCCGGCTGGCCTGGTAAAGGAAAACAATTCAGCCTCATCAAGCCAGGCCTTTGCCGTGTCGAGCCATTGCACGATGGAGAATCGTGCAAACCATTCTTGGTGTCAAATCCTGATAATGATAGCGTTCCCAGGCTGCCGGACACCTTCCTCACCGTGGCTGGCTTGAAGAATATCACTGGCTGGCATGTCAGTCAGGAGCTGCGAAATGCAGTGTTCAGTCACTGTTTGCAGCAGATGCGGAGGCAAGGGCAAAAGGGGGAGTCGTTCTAACATGCATGACCAAGTCTACGTCAAGCGTGTTTGTGAAGGGCCTATCACCAAAGCAATCACTTGCATGGCGCAATGCCGGCGATTTCGCTCAAGGTGTGTAAAGTATAGGCGCCTTCATTATGAAACAAATGCTGCATATACGAGGTTTTGGAAGACTGTGTGCTTCCGCGAAAGCGATCGTCCACTCGAGACGTTGTTGTGGGGGCATATGTGGCAGTTGAGGCCACTCCCAGTGCCGCTAGGTTCTCCAGTGGCGGTGTTGTCGCTGTGCTGGCTACTTGGCTCAATGAGTTGTGACTTGGGGCTCATAAACAACAACAGGCAGCAAAATGCAATACGCTTGGCTTCCGAGTTGAGGGCAAGCCACAACTCTGTTGGATATTCTAACCCAGACAAGGGAGCATTGTCAGGAACTCGCGCTGAAGCTCCAGCACCACTCTGTGGACTTTTGGAACAGGGCCCTCTCTGCTTGTGCCTGTATCTGCAAGAGATGGTTACGTGTCAACACAACTTGCCACGCACGTTTTGTAGCAGAGGACGGGACGTAATGCCATGTGTGCAATCGTAGCGTTGATGCAGAGGACAACACATCATCATCCGGCTCAGAGCCAACTCGATCAGATGTCAGGTTTCTTTTGTCGTCTCAAGAGTCTTGTGATGTCTTATGCTTGACCAGCCCCGCAAATGGCAATCATTTTTTTGTATACTCATTCACGTTAATAAAAATGCATGCACTTCGTTTGTTGTGGCGGGCTGCAACCGAGCCATTGGTTCCAAGCGTTTGGAGATACACCTCAAGGCCTCGACAGGGTGCGTTTGTCCAACTAATGTTGACCCCATATTAATCAATCCCAGTATAAGATTACTCAGGAGCATTGCGCCATCTCTACTTTCATCAACAGCGCCAACCTGACCCTCAACTTTGTTTTGCCCCTCTGCCATCACCAGCCCCCTGCGCACCCCTGGCTGCGCCAGCTCCGGCCGAAGGCAGAGGAGCAGGGTTGCATCTTCTTAGACAGCGCCCATCGCCCCAGCTCTGGTTCAGCTCTGGTCGAAGGCTCAAGCAGGGTTGCGCCAGCTACTTTTGCCAACAGCGCCCAACTTACGCTCTGCCCCTCTGCCATCACCAGCCCCTTGCGCACCCAGCCCGGGCCCAACCCAGCGAAGGCAGCGCTGCCCTTTTTGAGGAGCATGGTTGCGCTATTTATGTTTGTCAACAACCCTCTGCCCTTGCGTACCCAGCCCATCGCCCTGAAGAGTCAGGAGCACCGCCTGTACACACTGCCCATTGCCATGGCTTACCAACCCCTTGCGCACCCAGCCCATCGCCCCTGCCACTGCCCTATATTACTATAATTTGTAATATGACCCGATCACAGTCTGATTAGCTCGGGAGGGCGGGGCCGGAGGAGTTGGGCCTCCCCTTCTTACTTTGAAAAAATGCGCCACCACCTTTGTTTTGCCGGGCTGGAGGGGACAGGCCAAATGCATCGGTCAGTCAGGACAGGGTCGATAGGTTGTGCCGCACCCCTTTATGCTTGAAGGGCGGGTGTGAGTGCCACGACCAAAGTCATTTCAGATCGACATCTGAAAAAAGGATTTTGACTCAACGACCAGGAAACATACCAATTCTTGGCTGTCAAAAGTAGATGGCGCAGGTTTTTGAAACGCATGATTTTTCTCAGTAGTAGATGGCTCCGTTCCAGCTTTCAGGAAGACTAGCGCCATCTACTATTTATAAACGACCCCGCGACCCGAAGTGCCATCTACTGTTTTCTGCAACTGGGGTTGAGCCATCTACTCTCAAATCAGTGTAGGGGGACCATCACTTGTGGAGGGGAACACCACCTCATCAATAAACCGGAGTTGATAAATTTGGGGTGAACATTATTGGTTGTTCAATCCGAATCGTCTATTCCGCAAGCGCATGTTCATTAGTCACGGTTGCAACACATTGCAACACGTTTGTGGGATAGTTGCGTGGGCGGACGGCCTGCATGCAGTGTAATATGTTGAATTTCATGTCTGGAAACCTGCAGCAAGCAGAGGGCGAGGGCAAACGTAGTTGGTCAGATTTAGCGAGCCCCCTTGCCCCCCTACCAGCCTTGTTTACAGTAGAAATGGTGATGGCTATGCTGTGGACTGGCATGCCTTTCTGATGGGGTAAACAAAGCACATCTTGGCAGTGGGGCAAGCGCGCAAGGCCAAGAGTCTCTTGCAACAACTAGCTGGGAGCCTGCCAATATCGCCTCGCTCGCGCTGGTCCTTTCAGAGCTGCCCGAAGGCAAGGCTGCACACTTCTTATGGCACATGTATGTACATATAGGTCCCTGCCAATTTTTGGGGCGCTGGCATGTGAACGTAACGCAGCGAAGCCTGTGAGGTTATTGTTGCGCAAGGGGGTTGCAAATCTGGAACTGCCGTGCTTCGAGCGGCGTTTATGTTTTGTGCTGAGGAATGTAGGCCTTTTCCTGTGCAGAGCTTTCTCGAGCATGCCATGCAAGAGGCCTGAGGCAAGTGTCAACAGGTTTTCACTTGCGGGGGACACATCGCCACATCGCAGTGTTGAGAAAATGCCAGAATCAGCATCGCCACAGCATTTGCCACTTGCAAATCATCCTGTTGCCATTTGTTGCCAATGGACGGCGAAAGCTGACAGGAGGGTTTCGGAAGCCAATTGTCACGTCAGGTTGTGTCGTCAACATGCCAAGGCATTTGGAAGGATTTCCTGAACGTTTAGCAAAGAATGCGACTGTCCCATGTCACCCGACTGTTGGAACGCACTCCCGCTCTCCAAGCCGCGAGGCATTGAGAAGGCAGAGCTTGTGGACGCGGTAGCGGAGATGGCTCAAGGACAGACCGTTGCGAAACAGGGTAGCACCTGTTAGCATTTGAAAGATTTTGAAAGCACACCTTGCAGTTGTTCATCTGCAAACGGCACGTGAAGTTCCAGATGAACAGCGTGAGTATGCGTGAGTACTTGATGTTGTTGGTGCTTGCGGCGTTTTGCAAGGGCGGGTGGGAGTGATGGCATTGCGGGGTCATGAGCTTGTTGAGAGTGTGCCATCATGTTATGTGCCCGTTGGGCCGGGTCTGGCAAAAAGCACGCTCTCTCTCTCTCTCTCTTGCTCTGTCAGTCCTAGGCCTTATTGGCAGGAAGACGTTTTGTTATGCTGGCCTGGCGTCGCGTTCGCTCTTACGTTTGGAGCCAACCTCCTACAGACTCGAAAATTTGCTGTTCCTAATTTCAAGAACTCGAGCCGAATGCTTGGAGGTGGCGTCAAGATAGTGCACCTAGGTTTCAACACGCGCCCTCGCAAGGCTTGGAGGCATTGCCCCTGGAGACTCTGGTGGACCTGGCAGCGGCATTTGCCCGACTTTGTCGCCCGCAGGCTGATACTGGGCCGGCTGCAGAGCGCGCGCCGGCGCGCGCGGGTGTGTGTGTGTGTGTGTGTGTGTGTGTGTGTGTGTGTGTGTGTGTGTGTGTGTGTGTCTGTGTGTGTCTGTGTGTGTCTGTGTGTGTGTGTGTCTGTGTGTGTGTGTGTGTCTGTGTGTGTCTGTGTGTGTCTGTGTGTGTCTGTGTGTGTGTGTGTGTGTCTGTGTGTGTCTGTGTGTGTCTGTGTGTGTCTGTGTGTGTGTGTGTCTGTGTGTGTGTGTGTCTGTGTGTGTGTGTGTCTGTGTGTGTGTGTGTGTGTGTGTGTGTGTGTGTGTGTGTGTGTGTGTGGTGTGTGTGTGTGTGTGTCTGTGTGTGTTGTGTGTGTGTGTGTGTTGTGTTGTGTTGTGTTGTGTTGTGTTGTGTTGTGTTGTGTTGTGTTGTGTTGTGTTGTGTTGTGTTGTGTTGTGTTGTGTTGTGTGTGTTGTGTTGTGTTGTGGTGTGTTGTTGTGTGTGTCTGTGTCTGTGTCTGTGTGTGTTTGTGTTTGTGTTTGTGTCTGTGTTTTGTCTGTGTGTGTCTGTGTGTGTGTCTGTGTGTCTGTGTGTGTGTCTGTGTGTGTGTGTGTCTGTGTGTGTGTCTGTGTTGTCTGTCTGTGTGTGTCTGTCTGTGTGTCTGTGTGTCTGTGTGGTGTGTCTGTGTTGTGTGTGTTTGTGTGTGTGTGTGTGTGTCTGTGTGTGTCTGTGTGTGTGTGTCTGTGTGTGTCTGTGTGTGTCTGTGTGTGTCTGTGCGTGTGTTTGTGTGTCTGTGTGTCTGTGTGTCTGTGTGTCTGTGTGTCAGTGTGTCAGTGTGTGTGTGTGTGTGTCTGTGTGTGTGTGTGTCTGTGTGTGTGTCTGTGTGTGTCTGTGTGTGTCTGTGTGTGTCTGTGTGTCTCTGTGTGTCTGTGAGTCTGTGAGTCTGTGAGTCTGTGTGTCTGTGAGTCTGTGTGCCTGTGTGTGTCTGTGTGTCTGTGAGTCTGTGTGTCTGTGTGTCTGTGTGTCTGTGTGTCTGTGTGTCTGTGTGTCTGTGTGTCTGTGAGTCTGTGAGTCTGTGAGTCTGTGAGTCTGTGTGTCTGTGAGTCTGTGTGTCTGTGTGTGTCTGTGTGTCTGTGTGTCTGTGTGTCTGTGTGTCTGTGTGTCTGTGTGTCTGTGAGTCTGTGGTGTGTCTGTGTGTGTGTAAGCCTGTGCGGCATAGTGTGGCACCGTGGGTCAACAAGTGCTGTGGCGGAGGGATCTTTTGAGCGGTTCTGTGGCAATTGAGGCACAAGCCATTGTGCCTTCACCCATCTAGGCTCTCACTTGCATTTGGGACATGCACATTCAATTCTGAATGTCACGCCAAGTTTCAAGCAACATTCAACGTTGAAACCTTTGCCATGTTTGTGTCCTGTTTGTGTTTGGCTTTGTGACTTGCACCCCTAAAAATTAAAAAAAACTGCCCCCCCTGCCCTCGAATTAAATACAACAACTTGAGGAAATATATGCATTTAAAAACAAATATATAATTAGGGGTCCCCCGGTCCTCTTCCGTCCCCGGATGGGCTCCCCACTTCCGGGGCTCCCAACAAGCCACTGCTTGTAGTCAGTAGGGGTGGAAATCGCTTGGTTAGAATTGGTTTGCAATTGCTAAAAGAACAATAGTATTGGCGATGTTTGATGTTGAAAACAGAGTTTCATTAGTAGGGGGGCCTTTAGCTATTGGCGTGGAGAGGTTATTGACCTCATTGTTTGTTTCGCAATTTGATTTGGACTCGCACACTTGATTGTATCGTTTCAGACGTTTTGGACATTGCTAAAGTAATGTGTTCCTTGTTCCGGCAGCCCATTCAACAATTGCCAGCATGTTGCTCTTGACAACGGCATGGTATTGCAATAGTGCTATGTTCTGATGTGTTCTTTTTGCTTGTCCTCTTGATACTGACCGTTCTAGATGTATTTCTGCGGGGGGTGATTGAGAAGTCCAACCACATAGCAAAACCGCTGCATGAAGCTGCGAATGCGGATTGTGGATGATGGTGGAAGCTTTCCAGCAATGCGGAGCAGAACATGCAAGGACCCAGAAATGCCCATCCTTTGCCCTCAGAGAAGCCGGGCTCAGTCTACAAGAAGTTGCATCTTCATTTGCACCAAGCCCTCTGCACGTGGCCAGGCACGCCTTTTCTCCGAAGCCGCAAGGCACTTCGCGCGGATTCCGGCGGCGCCTGGAGAGGACCAGCCGAAGCGCCTGTTGGAGGCGTGGATTTCGCCCCCAGCCGATGGTATTTGCGTCTTACGGTGCGCTTTTCAAAGGTCAAACCTGGCGGCCTGATTGTCACCACTCCCAAAGTGTTCAAGAGAAGTGGGCCGAAGGTATCATGCGCCACCTAGCATCCTCAAAGGCAAGGGGACGTAGAGAAATTGACAGAGCCAGCCCTAGGTGCCAGAAGATCTGGTTTATTCATGATTGTCGGAGCTTGAAGGGTAGTCATACCAAAGTGAGATTTGAAAGCCATGCCGCCGCCCGCTTCAGGCACTTTGGCGGATGTCTCCAGAGATGTTCGAGCAGCACCCAACTTTGTCCCAGGCCGCTGACGCCATCAACCTGGATCTCTCGCCAGGAAACTGCTGAAACAGCGTCCTTGTGAGGCCAAGGAACATGCGAGCAGGGAACATCCCGGCTCCTTCGAGCGTGGGCATGCATTCCCCATGGACATCAGAAGCTGCCACAAGCAGTGCACAGGTAGGGTTTGGCAAGGCTGTCCCGGCTCGATTTGGTGAGGCATGGCGACTCGAAAAAGTGGGCTGTGCGCTGCTCAGGTCCCGCAGATCTCCACCCCGCCGCGCCGCGCAGGTGCTGGTCATTATTTCCTACGATGCCATCGCTGCGCAGGAGCATGTGGGGGCCTTGGCCTTCGGGTTTCACCATGTCGGTGCAGGTTGACTGCACCTGGGTCGTGCTGCTTCTGGCTTGGCTTGAGGCGGAGGAGGATGAGGGTTTCAACCCCTTTGAGAAGAACAGACTGGAAGATCTTCTCAAGGATCACAAGCCGGGCTCTCATGTTCGTGCCTTGCGCTATCCGCTAATTACCCAATTACCGCTGTGCCCAACGCTGCAGCATGCCGAGCAGGAAGGGGTGAGGCATCAGCATAACCTCTTAAGCATCAACAAAGGAAGACTATTCTAATGATCAATCAACAACTCATGAGGCATCAAACAAAGCTTATTGGGCACAAATTGTTGCAAAGCACAGTAAAAAGACGAAACTGCGAGCTTGTCGGGCATGCCTGCTGTTGCTTTGTTTAGACTTTGTTGGGGGCTAGGGTTGGGTGGCTTTGAGGTGGGTTTTGGCGGGTTCAGGATGGGTTTGGGTGGGTCCCACACCCACCTTGCGTCGACCCGGAACCCATCCTGAACCCCCCCTAACCCCACGCCAAGCCCGGGACCCGCGGAAAAACCTAACCTTCCTTCCTTCCCTCCCTCCCTCCCTCCCTCCCTCCCTTCCTTCCTTCCTTCCTTCCTTCCTTCCTTCCTTCCTTCCTTCCTTCCTTTCTTCCTCGCAGTTGCTTTGGGAATGGCTTTTGTCTTGATGCCTAATACTTGTTTGTTGATGCGTAACACGTTGTTTTATTGATGCTTAATAAGTGTGTTGATACCTATCTCAAGCAGGAAGCTGACTGGGCTATTTCTGAGGCGTGCTTCTTCCGTGTTCTCGCTCATGCTGCATCTCGGCTTGCCAGGCAGTATCATCCGCAATAGCGCCCTTTTTGCCCCAAGGCGCTAATTACCCCGTTTGAACAATTTGGTCCTCGCACAAGCTCCTTGCAATGTCGCCTGCCTTTGATAGGGCCTCGGGCTACTTGTGTCTTGATGTTTTCAGCTGAGGTTTCCTGTGTACATCATGGCAGGGGCCCTAGCGGTAACACAGCCCACATGGCCAGTGCAAAGACTGGCAGTAGGCCTCTTTCAGCCGGTATGTTTTGGGAGTCAGTGATGTGAAAGCAGCAGCAGCAGCTGTCTTGGCCCAGCTTGAATCATCATTGACATGTGCCGCTTCATGTCCCCGCGTTGTCAGTTGCAGCATTCATGGCATCCTAAGATTGCCACTCAGCACCAGTTCCGCTTTTTGCATACCTTCGCCCGGTGCCCCAGCCATTAGACACAAGCCACAGTTTGCCACATTGACGATCGTGCAGTGACCAGCATGTTGCATCACCGTTTTCCCAATGCCTGCAAGGTGTTTTGGATGATTCCAGTGTGCATGGCCGGGACGCTAGTACTGCTTGAGCAAGGTCTGTGTTGGGAAAGACGCAGCCGCAGCAAGCGATCCTGAAATCTCTTGTAATCATTCAATACCTACAGCCGTTCGCCTTCCATGATGGATTTGTGTCTTGCTTTTGTTTACGTCATCAGGCTGCATTGTATTTGTTTGGTGCTTGTTGTGAAGTGGTGGCGAGAGTTGCAGCAAGCAGTCGGTCCAGCGTGCCTTTATCCAAGCGAATCTGGGACTGCCGAAGCTTTGATGCAATGTCACTGCAGCTCATGTGAAACTGCTTTGCTCATTTTGGTGCTTAACGGTGCGTTCTTGCTGAAGTTGGCTAGATTGTATGTGTTCACGCTTGGCAATGGTATGGAGTAACGGTTAGTTGCTCCGGCAGTATAACACCTGGTCGCAACACCCAAATTGGAATCCTTCCAGGTACCGCCGAAGAACTTGCGACTGTAAGTATTCGCGCTGCCCACCTCGGGCCGGCCGATTCTTACCATGCCTCCCATGCATTAAACCAGCTGTTTGAAAGCATCTTCTTAGCACTGAAGAAGGTGGGTAGTCCCTTGAGCCGTGTGGCTCGGCTGCAGCCGGGCCTTGAGAGCCAGAGCTACAGCCATAGTGCAAGGGCAGCCGGGTTGGGGAAGGTGAAGCCCGTGCCTGGGGCTGGACACATGAATGCATGGCCGCGTGGCCGGACGAGGCGAAGCCGCAAGAACTGGCCAGCTAAGAACAGCTAGAGCCAGGGACATGGGCTTGGGCCACGCGACATGGTTCGTGGGGGCGGGGGGTCAGTGGGCCAGACAGAAAGATCCTATGACCTAAATCTGACCGCTTCCCGGGCCTGAAGCCGCAGGAAATTAGGTTTGCGATCTTGCGCTTCCATGGTCGCAGCCATTCTTCGCCCGGTGGCGCGACTTTGGTTTTGCACTGTCCTGTGCGGAGTGTGCCTACGGCTATCGGGCAAGTCAAGTCTGCTTAGCTTTGCTCCTTGGCATTTCCCTTTCAATTGGCGGTTTTGTGCTTGCGCGTGACTCCTTGTTTCAATAAACTCAGGTGATATCCCCTACAGCACGCGGTGCTCTTTTTTGTGCTCGCACCACCCCGCAGCCCTCGCAGAACCTTGTGGAACCCTGGTGGAACCTTACCTTCGGGCCGCCCCGGACCACCCCAGAGCCTATCTGGGCTGAGACCCCAAAGCTTTCAGCTGTTAGGGAAAAAAAGCCGGGTGAAGATATGTGGTGTGAATGGAGAGGTGGGAGGGTCAATGCTTTCATGTTGATGTTTTCGGGAGGGTGAGGTTCGAGGTGAGGGTAGAGGTCAAGGTTAGAAGTAGGGTTGGACTAGGGTGAGGGGTAGAGGTTGAGGTTGCAGGTTAGGGTGAGAGGTTGGGGTCAGTGGTTAGAGATTAGGGTGGTTCGGGTTGGAGGTTCGGGTTAGAGGAAGGGTTGGGTCAGAGGTGGAGGTTAGGGGTAGAGGGTAGGGTAAGGTTAGAGGTTAACCCGCCCGCCCAGTGACCCCGTGTGTCTATCCACCGACACACCTGCGCTGGGGTTTCCGAACCTCAAATCCACGAGCCTAGGCCTTTGTTGCCGCCATGTTGGTTATGCCGTGGTGTGCGTTGGCAGTCTTCGGGTCATGTTGATGTGATTTGACACGCCGTTTTTTGGATAGTCCGAGTTTGTGAGAAAGGACCGCGTCCGCTAATGTGGCATGGGCAAGCATGGGAAGTGAGCTTGTATCAAGTCTTTTCACGTCCACCCACCGGGGCCACCATGGAAGCCAACCTTTGCCTTGCAGCCATATCTTTCTAAATGCATCTGAGCCATTCTCATCTCCAAAGTTAGTCGGAGAAGATCCCGCCAATGGCACAAGCTTTGAAAGCTTTGAAAGCTTGCCTTTGAGGAGGCTTGTTTCATGTTTATTTTCATTCACGAAAGATGCTGTGTTGCAGGGTTGCGTTCCCAGCCATTCAGTTCGCAGCGCGCTGGCTCAGGCTGTGACGTGGCCTTACTTCTGCGGGACGGCAGGCTGCGAAACCTTCAGGTACAATAGTTTACGTTTTGTGGGGCATGGATGCCTTACGGAGCACTGAGCCCAAGAGGTCGGAAGGTTCAATCAGTTGATGCCAACTTGTTCATAGATCCGTGAACCTTATTCGTTTGGAAATTCGGCCCAGGGAATGGCCCCAACATTTGAACATCTAAACTTGGCACGCACAGGCAGGCGGTCCCGAGAATCCTTCTGTTGAACGCTGGCCGCTTTTGGCCATGGACATGCCGCCATCATGCTTTGAGCAAGCATTCAGGGCTACCCGGGCCAGGCAGGAACTGCAACTTGTACATGTCCATGGCTTCTAAGATGCTGATGCCCACGCCCAAGAAGCATGCCTCAGAGGAAGCAATATTCCAAGGGTTGAACGCTGCCGCCTTTTCATCTAAGAGAATCGGGCACGGCACGATCCACGGAATCAAGTTGACATAGCAGCTTCGAGTTTGTGCTCAGCTACGTCCATTTTGGAAAATTTTGGAAACCATGAACAGACACGGTTTTTCTTCTCCAACCCTCGTTTGTCAATGCGCAATCTCGCATTTGGCATGGGGCGTTTGGACGCCAGATTGTGGAAGAGGTGCCCCATGGTCCTGACCAAAGATCACTGTACCACTCTTTGGCAACCTGACAAGGCTGAACCAATGAATTGTTTTTGCGGGCCACGCCTGGGGTGCACTGCATTTAGTTCAGCATAGTTCGGCCAGACAACATCATTCCAATGATTCCAATGGTCCAACATGTTCAGGAGCTGTGCGTATTCATCATGACTCATCAACACTCATCACGTTGCTCATGTTCAAGGGTTGCCTCTTGAGATTAGGTGCTTCACCAGCATGGTGAACTCCTCCATGGCCTGGTCTGGGGAGAGGATCCGGGCGCCTTTCGCGACAGTGCTTTGGATGTGCACCTTTGCGCTAATATGCCAGAAGTATTTTGCCCTGGCACGTGTATGGTAAATTCCTGTGAATTAGGTGATGGTTTTCAAAAAACTTGGTACATTGAAGGGATCATGCGTAGCGTAGAGCCTCACACCCGGCAAAGATCTTTGCGAGACGCAACCTGCCCGCAAAGTATGCGGCGCTCTGACATTCCCCCCCTTTGCGGAGCACTCGCACACTCCACCTCCCTTCATCGACTGGGAGAGTTGTTTCCGCGCCGGGAGGGGGGCCTCGAGATCTCGCATTGCAGGAACAGCCGCTCCCGCTTCTTGGCTGCTAGGTCGGTGCAGATCACGTCAGAGCCTGAGTGCTTTTTGTTTGGGGGAAGGGCAGGAAGGGACATAGCACGTGCCATGGGAGTGCGTGTGCGCGCTTCCTTCGATTTTGAGAGTCTGCCGGGACACAAAACATTATGTTGTGCAGATGTCTGCTCTTCAAACCCCCTTTGCAAACGATCCTGTAGGTCCTACAAGAAGCATTTCAGCAGAATAGTAGGTTAAATAAGTTAAACAATTACTGACATGTTGCTCCTATGGTCACGCACTGGCTGCTCCCATGCTTCATTGCAAGTTAAGCTTCAAGCGGCAGTGGCAGGAAGCAGCGCATCGATGCCATTGCCAGCACCCTCATGCCCCCGCTGGTAGTGGAGGATTTGGGCGTGGTGCGACGATTTGCACGGCGGCCGGGGAATTCTAAGTTTGCAAGCTCAATGGGCAGTGAGTGGTTTTGGATTCGTGGGGTCTGCTCTTGCACGTGAAAGCCTCGCATGGAAATCATCATCGACGCTGAGCAGCTTTGCACTTTCTGCGCGCCGTGAGCTGACGTGGATCAAGCCCTGCAGTGCTCCAGAGGAATTGCGCCATGGGTGATTGCTGCGAAATTCACCAAGAAGAGCCGCCCAAGCAGAAGAAGGATATGGGCCTGAGAAAGTGACTGCACCCACAAATGTTACCAAAGCACAACCTGACACCAATTCCTGAATTCAAATCTTGACCCCTTTTGCCATGTCTACAAGATGTGGCAGCAAGGCACAAGCCTCGGTCAGGGCACCAAAGGCGAGATAAATTTGAGTAATTGCGTGGTCGCCTAGTTAATAATTTCACACCTACAGCAACATCAAAAGTAGGATCTGACATTGCAGCTTGTTGTCGGACCAAGTTACCAAAACTGCGTGACGGCGTTCTGTTTAAAAGCAAAAGATAGCAAAAGGCTGGTAGCTCAATGATGAGCTCTGAACATATCAAACAGTGGATCAGGAGAAAATCGAGAAGAAGCCGCGCGAAGAGGAGAGGAAGGAGTCGAGCAAGAAGCAAGACCAGAACAGAATCAATGCCCTCCAGATGCTGGAGACTATCCCTGCAGGCTTGGTGATGCCAGGGCTGTTGGCCGCGGCATGGGGCAAGTGGTAAGTTGTCCACAGTCCTTGGAACAGTGTGTCCATCACAACGTGTCCCAAACACTCCGCGCTTGAAGCCTTGTAAGCCCGCATGCAGATAAGACGATGTGCATCCAGCGGCTTCCAACCAAGCTATGCGGGACCACTATTCCTTGCCACTCAAACATAAGGTATTCCTCAATATTCTCCGTAGCATTGCAATTGCGTTGCACTCAGCGCAGCCTGCACGTGGCTCGGCTCACTAAGCAGCTGCTTGTTGCTTCTCTTGCTCGATCTGGGCACGCTTATGGAAGATCATCTCCGCGCATACAGCTTCCACTCCGAGCGTTTCAGAGCGCAGGTGACTGGACCCGTGCCGTGGAGGTTGCCTCCACTTTGGAGCAGCGAGGAAGTGATCGGGAGCTGTGCCGCTCTGCAGCCAAGGCGGCGGAGAGGATTTGCTGCCAGGAGAGGGGCAACTCGGACTGCCAAAAAGGAGGCGAAAGCGGTCACAACCCTTAAGCACTTCACCATACTTCACCCTCCCACCGCCTTTCATCTTAGGGCCCTCAGAGATCCTTGGGTTTTGCAGACTGGTTGAGAAGAACAGGGATTGAGAAGAGCAAAATGATTGACATGATTGCTGGCGCAGCTGTGAGCCACAGTCCGATGCTGCTATGGAACAGTCCATCTTGCCCCACATCTTTGTAAGAGGCATGTTTGGATCCCTCAGGCCCAAGCAATCTCAGGCAACCACACCCCAGCCAGCAGATCTAGTTAAGATCTCATCTGCCGGGCAGAGGTATCGTTCAACGTTGCGACTTTGGGGGTTGGGTTGAGTTCTCAAGCTTAGCTACAGGTTTGCTTTCTAATGTTATACGTTATAGTTATAGCGTTAGGCTTTTGGGGTGCCACCACTAAAGCGTAGAGGCATGATAAACGTTGAATGGCTGGCCAATGTGCTGAGGTCTGGATGCTTTGACCGAGCAAGGCGCCGTCCAAAGCTTGCTGCAAGCGTGGCAGACGCAGCCTGGATGACAACCAATTCCTCCGCAGCTATAGCATTTTTTTGGTTAATGTTTGATTATTATTGGTTGCCTTTTGTTTACGCAAGGCGGCCAAAGAATTTGTATGGTGTTGGCATACAGCAGGGTGCATTTGCGGGATGGCGAGGCATGTGTCGGCATGTTTTTCCCTAAGCATGCTTTGTAGGTGCTGCACCTTCTGGCCAGTAGATGTTCGGTTCGTTTCATTCCTGCAAGGGGCAGTAGCAGAGCATCGTTCTTGAACTACATCTTGCATTGTTGTGGCACATAAGCTGGCTGCATGGATGTTGGACTTTGTTCAGTGCTTCATCCTTCAGAATTTGTGGCCCAGTTCGGCATTTGGTGCTCATGGCCCCCACCCACATCCCAACCATCCCAAACCAAAACGATGCTTGCTCAGGCATCGCAACGACACCTCCATGTCAGTGCACACGCACAACGTTGTGGCGCGTTTCTGGGAGCGCGCCAGCGGGGACGACCAATGGATTTGTCTTCCAGCGCAGCTGGGCGTGGCCAAGGTGCTGCTCTCCGCGCAGAGCGAGTGGCTGGCAGAGGGGCATCGCACTGCAGCGACTTGGGCCATCTTGGGCCGTGGGTAAGTTTCGGCTGCGGGCAATGCGGCAATGCGGCAAACCACTTCTAGAACTGCGCTTTGCGAAACGAAACCCGGAAAATGTGTCTAGTTTCAAAATGTCACCGCTGCCAGCAAGTTGACCAATGTCAAGCAAACACCGATGGCATTGGGTGACATCAGCAGAAAATCCTAAACTTGGTGAAACCTAAGCCCATACCACCCCAAGCTCAGTTCGCGCCAAGACGTTCCCTCTGAAATTTGAGGAAGAGCAGGCAGCACGAGCCCCGCCAGGCACATGTTCTTCTATCAGATTTGCTCCTCTTCTCCTGTTTGCTCATGGCTCTTTGCCCTGCTTTTCTTTAAGCACATCCACCCCCAGCTCCTCTCCATGCGCCTCCCTCTGGTAAATCCGGTTCTTTCCTCTCTCCCCCTGCTTGTTGCTCCCTTCAGCACCCCAAAAAACCCTTTGCACAAGCTTTTGCATCGCGTGTGCAAGACAGCTTCTATCCGTCAATCTCGAGAGAGGGATGGCTTCGTGTGGGAAAGAAGCCCAATGCTGCAGGAACATGTCTTGAAGCAGTGTGATGACGTGCCAGCAACCGCTCGTGAGGTGAAGCTGCATGAGAAGGGCCATAAGACGGCAGCGATGGAGTTGTCACCCGTCTAGCAGAAGATTGTCCGTGAGGTTGTCGAGATGCCTTGGCAAGCGTTCTCGGCCATGCTTGAGGCACTTGGGGATCATGAAGTCACATTAGCAAGTCATGACGCACAGCATAGGCAACGGAATGCTAAAGACTCACCAGCGCTCACAGAACCTTTCGACCGGAACTCGCAGGGACAGCTGTGCCCGTTTTTGTTCAATGCCATTTCGTCTAATAGTTTGATGCACGTGCATGGTGCGCGGCCATGCTTCTTGCGAGTCGTACGAGTGTCAGCTCAGGCCTTTAATGCAATACCATGCAAACAACCGTAGATTGAGCTGTACTCTTTTCTTGCTATCCTTGCCTGTTCGGCAAAACAAGGCAGCACTCAGGAATCCAGAGGAGATGATGTTTGATCATTTGTTGAAACGATGTTGGGTGCCTGGCCAAGGTATCGCCTGTGCATCGAACAGCTCACCAAAGAGCACGGAGCCGACAGCCAGTGTACACTGCAAGCCCAGAACAATTTAGCGGTCCTCTTGGAGGAATGCCAGCAGTTCCAAGAGGCGGAGAAGCTTCACACCGAAGTTGCCAGGATCTATCAATGGCAGGTCGCAGCATTTGATCTTGAGGTGCTACATGAGGTGTTGTGAAATTGTTCGTGGAGTTGGATGCCCGTGTGCGTGGCTGCAGGGTCTCACAGCAAAGCGTTCTGGTACGGGGTGAGTTCCTGGAACTTTCCGTGGGAGCACGACGGGAACTAGCTTGCGTTGTTGAAAGATTTCAAATTGTTGTTTGCTTACGCGCATTGTGATGGCCCTAGGCCTTTTTGTTTACATTTTGAAGCAAGCTAGACACGTTTGGGCTGACCCTTCCAACTGCCACACCGCATGTGGCATCACACTTGCCTTCTCCGCCTCCGCAACTGACGCTGAGATTTGCCTACTAATCCAAGACCAAGATCTTCTTCAGGTGTGCTTCTGTTTGGCATGGCGGACTTCCGGCAAAGCCCAGGTTTGCAAGCAGATGGAGGCGAAGTTCGGCGCAGAGCATGGAGATGTGACATCCTCAAAGTTCAACCTCGCTGCGCTGAAGGCGAAGCTGGGGCATCTGGCGCCTTGGGCAGCAAGCTTCGGGCTGCTTGCAGCCGTTTTGTGATTCGGGGCACTCACTACTTGCGCCATCTTGCGCCCACAGGCGGAGAGCGAGTCCATCTACAGACAGGTCTTGGAGGTCAGGGAGCGCACCCTGGGCCCGCAGCATTCCAACACATTGCGTGCCAAAGCCAACTTGGCAGCTCGGCCTGAGGCACTTGGCAGTCAGAATATGCCAAAAGGGCGGCGGAAATGTTGGTTTGGTTACGTATTCTGTCCACTCTTTTGTCATGCAGCTCCACACGTGACTGCCTCAAGTTGTGGCTGATGTGGGTGGTTTCCATGGGCCAGGCACTGCACAAATACTTCAGAGGAACCCCAACTAGCAGTTTGAGGCTGTCAAAAACGGACCCTTGACCCATGTAAGGCTCTATTAGTCCCTGTTTGGATTGCGGTACTTTGTTGCAGAGCTGTGCCTAACCTTTGGGACTTCGCAACGAGGCAGACATCATCCGAAGGCAGAATCGGCTTGAGGAGGCCGAGGGCATGTTGAAGAACTTGGTGGATCAAGCTCACGTCTCCTTTGGAGACTTGCCTCAAATAGCCCGCGGATGTGTATGGGAGGCAAGGAGTTACTTTTGCATGTTGTTGCCTGTTGTTTTTTTCCCGTTATGTGTTCCCTTCCTTTTTTGTTCTAATTTCTTTCTTTTGTTCCTTCGTTCTTCTAAGGGTTGATTCCCCATGTTTTCGTCACACGCGCACTCAGTGCAACGATCGGTCTTTCCAGCCGGTTTCGGCTCAGTTTTTGATTTTTTCTGCAGCGAGCACTGACGCATGCAGAAAGTTTTCCCGCGGGCTAGGGGTAGGGCCAATAGACTAGACAACCCCTGACCTGCCAAAGTCATGCCGCTGCAGGCCATCGATCTTACTGGCAGCGTTCTGTTTTCCGGGGCATTGTTCTTCCCCAACCATCGTTCTTTCCCAACAACCATCATTATTTCCCTTCTTTCCCCACCCCATCATTCTGTCCCCCTGCATCGTTCTTTCGATCAAAGATCAGTGTGTCCCTGTGTTTATTTATTTTTTCGCTTTTGCATCTGTTTTGGGTGAAAATTGGAAAACCAGAAAGAATGGGGAAGTATTGTATGAGATCATATTTTCGGTTAAAACCATTCTTTCCAAGCATCCAATTTTCTAGGATTTCCGGTCTTTCCTCCCGAAAGTGATGACAACTGCTGCGTGGGCTGCTGCGTGGGCCCCCATTGAAAGAATGAGGAAGTGAATTGGAAGCTTGTGGAGAATTGGATCGCGGGCACCACTTTGGTGGGTTGGCTGCTGAGGGGCCCGCGGTGCCATCAGGAGGGTGCTTCAATGCTTGCCGTGAAGCCACGGGCTTTATGTTTGTCAGTGTCGCCTTGGCAATGATTCATGACATGGATGTGGGCAAAACAAGAAGGGCAAGGCTGACCCCCCCTGCTTGGGAGATGCCTGGTGGGCTGCCGGGAGTCGGCAAAGGGAGAGAATGGGAACAGTTGAGTTTTAGCCTTGCTTGGGTGGACTGCTTCGATGGCAATTGTTGTTGCATCCATTTTGGGGGATAATTGGGTTAGCTCTTCAGAATGGGGTGGTGTGGCTTAGAGTTCTTGCTTGCTTGAGTTTGGCAATTGCGGTTGATGGGCACTGTGGCCGGCAGCCCAGGGTTGACGAGGTAGCGTGAGGAACCTGCCTACCATAATATATCACACACACACATATATATATACACATGTATACGGTAGCTTGAAGGCCACAGCTGTGACGCTTGTTGGGCTTTTAGCCAAGGCCGTGACGACCCCACCACACTGAAGGTCGGGGCTCCCATTGGCGTTGAGAGATCGGCGAGTGTTTCTGAGGCCAAGGCGTTGTGACAGAGCTTGGTGCTTCCATTTGTTCGTTGCATGAGGGGTTTGCTTCCTGTCGTTGGTTCGGTTTGTTTTAGGCTCGCTAGCGGCGCACCCAAACACAGGTGCAAAAACAGCAATGCTGAAAGGATCACAAATTGGATTTCAATCATGTTCAGATTGAAATGCAGCATTACAATTTGCATAAGGGCGTGCACTTCCAATATCTTCCAAGAAGCATTCAACCAACTTTTTGAGCATGCTCAGGTGCTGTGCAAAGTGGCCACAAAGATGCTTGTTCAAGCTGATGTTCATGATTCTTGTGAACAAAAAAAGACTAACTGCATGGTTGGGTGTGTCCTGCTATCCCCTATCTCGCGTGCATGATCCAGTTTCCCGCTATGATGATGCATTGTGTGCAGGTCATGAATTTGGAGTGCGGGCACCTGCTTCATGCACCCAAGGGCAATGGATATTCCCTCGTTGTCACCACTAAACAAGTTTCAGGGCTGAGGCCAAGCGCTTCAGAAGCGGATCCTTGGAATCACGGCTTCAGTCACGAAAACCCAGATCAACATATCAAAATGCTTGATCGATAAGTTGATAAGTGCTCCAACTTGGACGGCTTTAACCGCCTTGTCGTTTGCCCACCCGGAGGCGCGGTGCCAGCTGGCCCACGTCCTGGCGGGCCTGGGCGACGAGGCCCGGAATCGACAGGCAGAGGCGCAGCTCCGGGAAGTGGTGTCCCGACGCGCGCCCCGGCCCAAGCAAACTGAACGAAGCAAAGTGACGGCCCAAATGGAGCGAAGATAGCAGAGAAACTGCGTTTTGCATTTGTTTGCCTTTTTGAATCTTCTTACAAGTTACAAGCGTTGTCGTGAAGCCTGCTTTGTCCTTGAACATTGCAAGCAGAGATCAAGAATTGCATCGGCTGGCTTGGTTTGCACCTGCCCCCTCAACCCATCAGCTACTTAATTGCTTGGCCTGTTCGCAAACGGTTTGAAGATATCCGAAATGGCACGGGCATGGCAGCCGAGGAGCAGAAGCTGGGGCCCAGCCACCCTGAAACGCTCACCGCCCTGGGCCGTTTGGCCTTCGCGCCTTGAACGCCATTGCTGCGGCTGACTTGCTACAAGCTGGTTTATTTGATTTGTGTACTTCCAAGCCTGGCACAAGCACACAGAAATACAGGTGTATTTTGAGCAACAGCGTTACATCATAGCAATGGTTGGAGTATGGCCGTATGGTGCTGATACATCAAACAATTGGAGTTTGCTCGTGTCTTCTTTTTTATTTATTTTGTTGCAGGCCTGTACTAATCACTGCTCTCAGAATATACTGCGTGGAGCAGGTTCCAAAACTAATGTTTTGGAGGAGCTTGAGTACATAGAATGTTTGCTGCTTTTTGTCAGTGACGCAAGAGCGACAGGCGACAGGGAGGTGCTTGGATTGTGGGCCGGCAATGCATTGAGTGTGGCACACTGCTCTCATTGGAGTTTGTTTGTTCGTTTGTGTGTTTGTGTTTGTTTGTGTGTGTATGGTTATTGTCCATGTTTTTTTTTAGTGGTGTCATTGCTTTTCATCACATCTTGTCTCGGCGCTATGTGTGTGTAGCCGAAATTGCACGCCTTTAGCGCCAAGATGCATTGAGTTCAACATGCAGCGGACACTATGCCATGTAGATGCCAACGCTCTTCAATGCATCATGTTAGAGTTGGCGTGTGTAGGAAAATGCTTTGCAGCACTTCGTTGTCATTGCTCTGATGAAACGCGCTGCCGCTTGTTACATTTGATTCTTCGGGTTTCCCCTGGGTTCAATCAAGTAATCGACTTCTTGGAGGGCCCGCTTGCTTCAGCACCGTGACGGCAGCGACTGATGAGCTGTCATCCATGGCCACAGCTCTTTGCTTGCAATGCCCGCTGCAAACTGTTGCGTGCGTTTAGCCAAGCAGAATGGGGAGAGGGCCGCCCAGTGGGCCGAATGGGGAGAGGGCAACTGTCCCATTGGCACTAGATAATCTTTTTTTTCGCCAAGCCGCGGTTTGCCAAGGTGTTGGAGGGCAGCAACCCACGCACCTCGTCGAATCCATACTCGGCTTGAGGGGTCGAAAGACGCAACAAAGCTAAAGGTGCTTAGGTGTCATTTGCCAAATTTTAGAACTATCCCGTGGCACAGGATGTTGCACAACGGAGCATGTTGCAGGTGATCGGCTGGTGAAACAAAAGAACTCCTGCCCGTGCTTTCCCACGCAAACCACCAGCTGGTTGGATTGTCCCCTCACAGGTTACCAAGGTTTATGAAATCTGCTACCCCGCAATGGAATAGCGAGACCACAGCCACCAAAAAGGGCGGATGCCTTTAGACACATGCACGGATGTGGTCAAATTCTTGGAGACTTCGTACAATGAGTTGAGTGCGTCGTCATTGGAGCCAAAAAAGCACAACTGATACCATGTGACATCATGTGACTGTGGCCCACTTAATCTCCCCTGACGCGCAGCCCTACGGATGCCTCGTCGAAATCAGGATCATTCATGCAAAATCAGGGTCAAAGCTTTGCTGGGCGTTTCACAACTGTGGCAGTGATTGCGGCTGTTTTTGCCATGTCTACTACCCTTGCGGCCTCCACTCAGCGGCCACGGATCAGGTCGCTTTTGTGCATTCGAAAACGGGTTGAGGTGAAGCGGAGCAGCTCAACGAACAGATCTGGCAGCGTTTGGACTCCTTGGCGCCAGCGGAAAAGCGCCGGGCCCGAGCCCGGTCAGGAGGCTTCGTGCTGGGCCTCGCGGAGCTGGGGGAGCCTGAGAGGGAGGAGGCCAGGGGTGGGAAGGGTTGGGATTTGATTGACTGTAACGACTGGAATTGATTTGTTGGCTTTGCATACGTGAACTAGCTTTAGCCTTGGCTGATTGGAGGCTCTTTGGTGCAGCCCTGGGCTGGGGACTGGCTGGGAAGGGATCATTCGCAATTTGGCTGGATGCTGCCGGGTTTGATCTCAGAGGCACTTTGTATGGTTGCCGAATGGGCGCTGGCACTTTGCAGCCCAATCCCGGTTTTCAAGGTTCCACTGTGCTTGTCAGGGTGCCTGGCTGACCCTCCTTGTTTGCGTGCTAGGCTGTCAGCCAACCCAGTAGACCATGATGGGATCAGCTGTGAACATGTCAGGTTTTATTGCACTGGTTCCATGCAGAGAGCATGTGTCGCATTCTGCTATGACAAACCAATACATACATCAAAGGCTGTTTGGTTTGCCAGCCTTCAAGCATAAAAAAGGCTACAAGTGTGCCCAGGCAACAGCCCACAGCACGGCACAAGGCTGTACAAGGCGGCTTGTATGTCTTGTGATGGAGGGCAGCCTTCCCAGTGTGCGTTCCAGGCTCTTCTGCGACAAGTAGTGGAGCGACGCAGCGCCACTTTGGGCGCTACGCAGCCTTGCTGAAACTCAGAAGTTCCGCAGATGAAGTTTACATCAAAAGGGTCATGACTCTTGACAACTTGAGGCTCATGCGAATACGCTACCCCTGAGTTCTGAATGGTGCGTACTTTACGCAGCTACCTTGATGCCATTATTTGCCATTACCGGACATTGCTGTTATTTACTGGCACGTTCAGTAACGCACGCCCGGCTGCATTCCATGCCCTTAGATACCAGCGAACATCCCGAAAGCTGTGTGCCATTACATTCCATGACCACACCTTGCAATTCAGTTGCCATGCCCAGTGGCTTGGACGGACCAAGGCCGGAAGAAAGGTAGGCTTATCCTTGCTCTGTCGCTGCGTCAGCGTAACATGTGGCTTCCGTTCAAAAAGGCCGGCTAAGGAGCTATATACAGTACGTGCATCATTTCTGTTGCATCTTGTTTTTCCTTTTCAAAATGAAGCGGGCCCCCACCTAAATCATGCAAATCCCACTGGCAGCGCTAGCTCGGCGCTAGGTCGGGGACGTTAGTTTAGTTGGCGTGGCGTGTGAGATGCGCACGCATGGCCTACTGTCCGGTCGCTCTCAGGGCTCTGGTCATTCCTTGCTCGCAAGCGAGGGTGCTGCGTCTGCTACGAAATCTGCACGTTTCTTTTGCGAAAGTGCTGCGCCTGCCATGCCTGCCCTTCCAAAAGCATTGCGCCTGTCGCGATAATCTGTACCTGACCTTGCGACACGTGATCCTGCGAAGAATCTGAAAACATAGGCAGTTTTCCGCGCTAGCACCGCGCTAGCAGGCAGTTGCCAACATGAACAGTGGAGCACGTGCCTTGTTGGAAGCAACTCCCAAGAAGCCACTTGCATGTGTCTAGGTTGTAGTTGTAAGTCAGGTCAAGTAAACGCCGTTGTACGAACCAATTCCGTTTTGTTACTTGCTGAAGACGTGGTGTAGAACATTGGGGTTTCTTGTGTGTTAAAATGCAGCTCTGCAATCTCGGGTGGCTCATCCCACAGCAGCAAATAAAAGGCCCGCGCTAGTGCGCCTGTCGGTTATTTGTACGTTTCTTAGTCAACCTATTGTGCCGCAATGGTTACGTGTTCATATGGCCCGAATGATGCGGGCCGCCGTGGAATGGCGATTTACGCTACAAAACTGGGAGCCGACATTTTGCCAACCAGCCATGTCCAGGCATGTGAGAAGTGTGAGAAGCAGCAGCATTGCGATGCAATGCGTGTGCTTGTTCGATTGACGCATCATCAGGCAAGGTTAGTGGAGCACTGCCCAGCTGATTCCTATGTTTGCTGCGGGCTGTGTTGACTTTTGCAGCACCAGGCAAACATTATGTTGCACTACCATGTGTTTTTTGTGCCCACGTAGCTCATGAGACGAGCCAAAAGCATCCAAATTGGCTAGCGGCTAGTTGGACTTCACTCTTCGATTGCTAGGTAGACGTTTACCTTCATGCTTGGTCCATGCTTCAGTCCTTGCGTGAATCCGTCCTCCAGTCCCGTGCTTTGACTTGAGGCACCCGGACACGCTGGCAGCGCGAGCCGAGCTGGCGGCGGTGCTGTCCCGCAAGGACGGGGAGGAGGCGAAGGCAGAGAGCCTGGCCTTGCGCCGAGAGGCGGGAAGCCTGCGATCTCGCCATGCGGCACGGACCTGCCCCTTGTTTTTGTTTCTTCTTCTTCTTTTTTCCCCTGCCCTTCGCCCTTCAAGGCCCTTTTGAGAGTTCGGTGCGGAGGTCTGCTTTGGGCTGTTGGCGTTGGATACCAAGAAGGAATGCAACACATTGTGGCATGGGGCCAAATTGTGGCTGAAATTGTTTTTGGATTTGTTATCTGAATGATGGAAGTAGGACTGGTCTCAGCCCGCAGTTCTGCTAAAAGGACGTTGCTTGCTCCCATTGCCATGGCTATTTCGGCATGGCTTTGATGATTGCAGACCTCTGCATGTCATGGCACCACGCTGGCATGCGATGCGCAGGTGGCCAACCTCAGCGAGACCTGCCTGGGCCTGGAGCATGTGGAGACCTTGGCTGCCAAGGCTGCGCTGGCAGGAGCCATCCTCCGGTCTCTGGGGCCTGATGCCAACCCAGTGGACGTCAAGGCTCGGGGGGTGGGGCGGGGTGTGCTGGGCAACACCACAATTGAAGCCATGCAATATGCAGCGCATTGTTCGGAGCTTTTGGCCCCTTGGACTTGATAAAATGAGCACGGAGAGTTCATGAATATGATGAACCCCTTTGCTTTATGGCTATTGGGATTCATCTTTAGACTGAAGCACGGTTGAACTCCTTTGAGTTTTCCGCGTTGAACCCACAAAAAGTTGAACACTTGTCGCAGAGAGGTCAACAGCAGCCAAGGATATGTGTTTCCGCGTTAGGGGTGGGAGCACATCACCATTACGGGCCCCAACTTTGCGTGGGGTCGAGTTGCAGCGCCAGCTCGAACAGGGATGAAGGTTGTGTGATTAGCCATGGTTCATATCATCATCAGGGACGTCGCGTTAGTGACCGACCTGTGGTGTTTTGGCTCAAGTTTTGGGTTCCGTCGCGCCTCGAATGGGCGTCGCCGAACCCCTGCGTCGACCGACGGCATCTCGGGGGAGAAAGAGACCTCGGGCCGCCGCCAGGTTGGTAGGGACCAGTCGTGCGGCCTGTTGTCGACCAAGGTTGCGGGTTAACCCTTTTCTTGTTTGGTTTGTTTCCTTTTGGTTGTTGTTCTCTGGTGTGTGGGAAACCCTGATCTTTGGGACCGGGGATTGGTTTGCTTTTGGGGAACCTTTCTTTTGTGGCTTGTTTACCCCAACTTACCCATTGCCTGGGCACAGGCTCGTGCCCGAATCACAGGTTATCAGCCGTAGGACTTTCCTACGCGCTTGAGACCATCAACTACAAGCTCTATGTCGACCCCACGATCTCGAAGGAGCGTCGTGGATGAGGAGGCCATCCTAGGTGGCCTCCGCTCAGGTGAGGACCTACCGGACTATGACTACGAGGATTTCGAAGCAGGTTCGACAGGTCAGGACCGCAGGGGTGAAGATCCCGGTAGGGATACACCCAGGGGCCGTGGCAGGTACGCCGACGATGGAGACGATCGTATTTTCCGCCAGGCCACTGATGACGAGCAGACACGAAGGGTTTACTCCGGTAGGAGTGGCTCTGAATCAGGTCACAGGCGTGGACATTTTGACTTCACCAGCATGGCGATGGACATGGCCCGCCCTCATTCGGATGACCCGGAGGCCATGCCGATTCGACCTCCGAGATCTCTTGTTCCAGGTGAGTCGCAGGTCTCGGATGAGTTTGAGAGTAGGCCGCAGGGACCAGGGACTATGGTTCTGGTTCCGGGAGGTATCCCGGGCCGATCCACTGGTTCTCAGAATCCAGGTCAGTTTGATGAGCACGAGGAGCGGAAGTTCTCAGACTTCGGATACGATGATCTGTTGAAATCAACCGCAGGTTGGGGCAGTAGCTCAAAGCAGGGATCTGATGCCGGTAGGCCCAACCCTAATACTGCCAAATCTGAGTCTTATGATGGCGAAGGTTACAATTTTGCGGATGAGGAGGAGAGCCATTCGCGCCGAGATGCAGGCAGCCGTGCGACTGCAAGGACTAGTCCCGCCGCTGCCAAGTTTGAGGTCGATGATGATGACGAGTATGCCGCGTTTGCGGATCGCCGTGATGAGGAGGAGGACCAACCACGACGAAATGCTAGGATCCGTGATGCTGCGAGGCCCAGGAGCCTCTCTCGTGGAGCCGCCAGGGACCTTCGCGTTGACAGGGATGCCCGAAGCGAGAGAGAGAGAGCCAGGGACAGTCGGGAAGTTCTTCGGGGATTGGAGGCCATCCATGACCGTGAGGGACCGGTAGGTCCCCCGGCGATTGGTGATACCCCGAATGTTCCCCCTTTTCCCAACATTACGTTTGGAGGTCCGTTAAATCAGAGAGACGTGAACTCGAACCGGGTTACTGGTTCGCCGAGAGTCACTGAGCGGGTTGCCGATGTCGTTGGGAGAGGTGCAAGAGATGGCCGGCTTGCCGATGCACTCGGAATCGAGGATCGTCCGTCGATCGCTAGCCCGTTAGGGCGAGATACCAGTGACCTTGAAACGCTAAGGTCCAGCAACGAGTTCACACCTCAATGGGGCTCGACCGCCAGGGAACGTAGTGCTTCTGCGAAGAGACCGTCACCCCTGGCCATTGAGACCGATAGGTCGAAGGCGAGGAGGGCTAGCCCCTCACCAATGGCCTCAACTCCGCAGGATGAGGAGATGCCTGATCCTGCTGATGTTCACATTCACTCTACTCCCGAGTCTCGTGCGTCCCATGTTGATCCCCGTTCCGGCGATAGCCGTAGAAGGGGTTCTACCCCTAGCAGGCCATCTGGGGTTGGTGATAGTCCTGTGGATGACCCCAGAAGATATGCTAGAGCTAGTGGGGCTCCTGAGAGGATCGAGATATCGACTCCTCCAGCACTCAGGTCTCATTCTTCCGGTGAATCAGGTGACGCTAGGGCAAAGGAGGTGTTCGATTTGCACATCCAGGAGATGCTCGAGAGAGGTGAGGTTTCTGGCTCAGTTGCGAAAGCTTTCCATATTTTTGCTGACCAGATCAGGTTACTGAACGGTCAAGTGAGTTCCATGCGAAGGGAATGGAGAGACGAGAATCAACAGACGAAGGACAAGGTCGATCGACTGGCAGCTGAGGTTGCGACTCAATCTGATGCCGGGAGGATGCGAATGATAGTTCAACGGTTCGCAAGGGAAGTTATTCCCGATAGCAAGGCCATTGTGAGGCAAGCCATCGATGAGCAAGCCGAGGTCGTGGAGCAGAGGATTAACCTACTGTCCCACGAGGTCCATGAATCTGTCAGGGACAATGAGGCATCGACTGATCGGCTTCGCCTGATGATTCAGGAGAATAATGAGGCTGCCCGCAGGAGCCATGCTGCTTCTGAGGACGAGATCCTTAAGGATTTGGACAAGCTTGAGAAACGGATGTTCTCGGTAGAGAAAACCGTTGGGATGCGGACACCGGCAGGTGTATGGAATCCGAATCCTGTCGCGCATCCGTCCGATAGGGCCAGCGGCAGTGTAGTCGATGCAAATTTCAGGGAGTTAAACCTGAAGATCGAGAAAGCTCTCCTTGATCACGAGACGTTTGCCAAGTGGGCCTCTGAATCTATTGAAGGGGTCAAAGAAGAGCACACTCGTCTTGTTAATCGAGTGTCTAGACTGCAGAGTGGGAGGGGTTCTCAGGAGGTCGATAGACCATCAGGGCATGATTCCCCGCAGGACTGGCATGAGGCTGTTGACGAGATCAATCGGAAGATGCAGGATCTGGCTCGAGGAATTCAACGTCAACGTCGGGATCATGACGACATCATTTCTAGGTTTGAAACCGTGAAATCACATGTTGAACAGTATGAAGCGAGATCGGCAGTTGTGAATCGGGTCGTTGATGGCATCCAAGGACAGATCCGCAATCTTCCTGCCAGCAGTGACCAAGTGCAGCCTGCCGTTAGGCGAGAGCTCGGCACATTCCGGAGTACACTTGAAGGTGTTATGCGGAGAGTCAGCGCTATCGATGGTAACGTACGTAACCTTAGCGCCGCGAACAACAGAATCATGTCCCAGCTCTTTGAGATGGAGGGTCAATTTGACGAGGCTGCTGGCATTATTCAGGGTGTCCAGCAGATTAATGAAGCTCCTCCACAACCCAGAGAAAGACGGAATGTTGGTTACCATGCATTTGCGGGGCAAGGACATAGGATCAGGTCACCGACGCCTACACCAGGGGAAGGTGACGGCCGGGGTACTGGCCTGCCGGTGAGACCAGGCGGAGGCGTTGTTTTGCCTGATCATGTTTTGCCGAATGTGCCCGATAGGGTCGATCCTTCTCGCGCAGACAGGCATCCCATCTATCCCGTTAGGGAGAGGTCCGACAGCAGGAGCAGGAGGGTTCGGGGGTTGCCTGACAGGTCGCATTCGCCACCGGAGCGTGCAAGGGGTGGTCCCCGCGCGCGCGCAAGGGGGGACGTTTCTATTTCCCCCAATAGGGATGCGGGTAGGAATAGGAGCCCGAGGCCTGCTGCCGTCCCCGATAGGGGATCTGAGGTCCGGAGTCGACAACCGAGGGGGGAGAGGCCAATCCGCGATAGCGGGAGCGTCTCTCCGAGTTTTGATAGGCCAATCCGCGATAGCGGGAACGTCTCTCCGAACCCAGGTCGTCATTCAGGAGGTGGTGGGGGTAATAGGGTTCATGCCGACATCCAGAGTCCTGGTGATGAGTGGAGGACTCCTGGGAGTAGAGCCAGCGCCGACGCCCAGAGTCCCGGCGATAGGCGAGGGACCGCTGGAGCTCCGTCGGATCGTGGACAGGCCTCAGCGCCGGCTGCAAGAGGGGCTCCCGGCGGTGATGGCCCAGAAGCGCCAAAGATTTGTGCCCTCGATGATCCCAACGACCGTAGGCACCCGAATGCTGAATTCTCGTGTGTGACATGCAGTCGTGAGTTCTGCGGGCTTTGCCGTGGTGACGACGGGGACTGTTGCAATTGTCAGTTCTTGAAAATGAAATGCTGGGCATGCCGCAAGAATGCTCAGGAGGTCTCCATGTATCTCTGTACGGATTGTGGGACTCACGTCTGTGAGAATCACAGTTACTTCGGAAACGACGGCCTTGAGCGATGTGCACGCTGCAATATTCGGCATGAACGCGCTCAAGCTGGACCGCCCCCTCCTCCTCCTCCCGGGGGAGGTGGTGGGCAAGGCGGACCACCTGGTCAAGATGGGAGCGGAAGTGGTGGGCATGGACATGCCCCAGCTCCACCGCCAGGTCCTGGGCATTATGGTGGAGGCCCGGATCCCGCTGGGCCTTCTGGAGGCCCGAGTGGAGGGGCTCCTACCGGGGGTTACCCTGGTGGAGCGCCTGGGTTCCACGGTAGTGCTGCGGATACTCATGGAATTGGGAACAATCAGTGTGGTTCCAGTTTCTATGGTCCTGCCTACGGAGGTGGCGTTAGTCACCAAGGGGTTGGCGCTGGCGTTAGTCAGTCTTGCAATGCCACGGGTTACCCCTCAAGTGTTGCGAGCGGTGGTAACCTTGG